AATCATTTTGGAAACAGAAAGCTCTCAAGAGTTCCAGTTTGTTTTATAGAATCTGAGAGCACAAAGCCAACAGTAAGAGCCACAGAATAATAAAAAGAAAAGTGAAAAAGATATTAAAAGCCAGAACTGGACACCAAATTTATGACAGTTATGAAAATGCAAACTGAAGAGAGAATATTTCTTGCTCAGACTAGGAAGCTGAAAAAATTGCCATTAGACAATTAGGCTGGCAGTTGTTCTACCATATTCAGAGTTTTGTAAACTTAGCCTGATTTAGGTCAAAGCCTTTCTAATATATCAGAAATTATGCAGTTGCAATTTGCCCATTACATTTCATCCTTTCTTTGCAACTTCCGTCACAGTATCAGCAATTAACCTAATTGTACAACCACTGCCAATTTTAATTCATATGTAATAGTTACAGGTCAGGAAGGTCAGGCTCTTTCTACATAGTCATGGAAATGAATAAATCTATGCTATTCTCTTCATTTTTTGAATTATCACAATCTACTTTCTAGATCTTTGTGTGTTTTTTCTTTTGCATAGATGCTGTTCTCTCCTCTTGGAGACATATTAGCTTTTTGTTATTATCTGTAATAAAAATACACGTACCCACTAAGAAATACACTCTAACCCCCAAATTTTATGATCACTTAGTCATTAATTTCTCTCATCCTTAAGAATGCTTCTATTACTGTCTTTATCTACTGTCAACTTGTTCCATGTTACTTATCTCTTCACTCCAGCAGACCAAGATATGCCATTCAAGGTTGTAGTCCTCTCGCAAGGAGTGTTCTTGCTCAGGACATAAGCATGGCCATATAACTCCAGGTATCATAGAGGAAAAAATAATCTTGCAGATTTTTACTTATATAAGACAGCATTTTTACTTTAAAAGATAGCATTTTTAAAAGACAGCATTTTTAAATTACTTTGCCATATGATGACACACAGCATATCAAAAAATCAACTGAGAGTGAATTGAATATTCAATTACTTTTTCAATTTAAAAAAAGTTATAAAGAGAGCTCCTGTAGACAGGCAACTGTTTTACAGAGTATTACTGTTCTTTGCAAGAAAAGTATTATACATATTTTTCTCTGCTCATTGAATGCATTTTCCTGCCACTAAATAACTCAGCTTAATTTCTCAATGTCAAATCATTGCTGATCCTCCATTCCTTGCCAGCTTTCAATGCAGACTGTTTGTTTTGCAGAAGCTGTGTACAATATTTTACGGAAAGGGCAGGTTTGTTATTCTTTCTACAAAATTAAAAAAATTAAAATATTTTTTAATTTGATAATGCAACACCTCTTTATGCAACATCTGTTAAATAGAAAAGTATTTTTTGGTAACATTTCCCTTTCTCCCTGACACATTTTAAGAACACAATTCTTCACTTCCTAGTCTCTTGTATCTAGTGACCATTACTCCAAGAAATTTGTGTCCTTCTACTAATTTATAAGTGTAGGTGTGGTAAAGTTCACATTTATTAGTTGTTTTGTATGTGATAAAATGTCTAAAACTTACTCTGAGTTCTTACAGCCAAAGAACCATGTTTAGAGATAAGAGATTTTGGGGTAATTTCCCTTCCCTAAATAATTCTTGCAATGCAATTCTTTAATAAAAAACCTTAGTAAACAGTTAATAAAAATCTAATCTGCAAAACACAGAAATAAAAGTATTTAAGACAATTAAATTGACTTTTGGCTTGTTTGTCTCCTTGAATAGTAAGTAAACAACCTAAGAACTAAAAATAACCAAATTAGCATTACTAATACTTCAAGATTTGAAATACGAGAATAGATCTCGATCTCAGAATTTCCATGTGTTCTCATGCAAATTTTCCATAGCACTTCCATAATTTCTCATCACTAACAATTATTTCATTATAAAGGTGCAGATTTTTTTTTTAATAGCAAATATCATCAAAAGTAGTATAAAGGAGTTTACATTTGCATAGGGAGTTTTAGGTAGGGGATTGCACCTGCACCTAAATTGCATTCAGTAGTTGTAGCAAATTCTCTGCAAACTCTACACTTGAAGCAGATGGAAGAAGATTGCATTAGGAGATCAACCCTTACAAATTACAATAGTTTGTGATACTCATCTGCATTTTAATCAGATATAAAAGATTTACTCCTGAAATACATCAAGAAACCCTATTTTCACCTCCTGAAATACATCAGAGAGTTTACAGTCAATCAAGGAAAATATCTTGCACATTTTTACATTCTCTATCTTCCTCTCTTAGGTATACAATATTACATGCATGTAGGTGTCAATGATTTTATTAGCAACTATATATAAGCTCATCAAAATAGAAGCCAAGAAGTAGTTTTGTATGTCAAATTCTCTTTGTTAAGGATTTGACTTCTGAGTTCAACAAAAAAAGGCGAATTCATGGTTAAATTAGAAACATTTTATTTTCTGCAAAATGCAGTGCAATGCAGTACCATCAGACAGATAAAGCAGACCATGTGTAGTCAGACATTAGGAACACTGTGTGGTTTGAAGGTATAGAGAGTAAAGACTTGTCGTGTTTCTTCTTGTGACCAGAGGAAGCATAAATTGCAATTAGTTTTGTCAGGTACAAGGACTGAACTGCAAAATACATCATCTGAACAATTTTATCACACGTTCTTGAAAAATAAGCATCAAACAGATATTGCTAAAATAGTCTTATACTGACAAATATTTAAAGAAAATTGTTTTCTCTATTGAATTACAACATTTTTAACTAATAAAAAACAGTAAGTCAAATGTCAGTGAAATTCAATGAACTAAACAAACTGCGTATTTTGCAGTAATAAACAAAATGGAATATTCTGTGTAATAAACAAAAGCATATTGCTAATAGTGACATTTAATTCAAGTATTGAAGAAAAAAAAATTATCAATATTAAGAATGTATTTTCTAACAATGTTGTCTGAAGAATGAGCTACTAATAATAGAAACGAAGTTTTTTTTGAGAAGTAATACAGAGTAAAAACTTGTAGCCATCCCCTCATTGAAAAATTGCCTGTATTGGTGGCCACAGGCACTAGAGGTGGAATCATTGATGATACCCTTTAATCCTAAATGTACACTTGGTTCCTAAGTTATCCTTACCTTTTCTTAATCTAGCAAATTATTTTCCACATATTAACGTGTTTTATTTTTCTGGACCATAAATGTTTTTCTGGACCATAAATGTAATGACATAAAAGTCTTATTAGCTTCTGGGCTCAGTTCTGACAGGAGTTTTTAACATGTAATTCAAAAAAGATTTAAAAGTATAGTGCAATAATTAATTTACAGTAGTCTGGATGGAAAAACTAGCATCATCGTATTAGATCTGTTGTTAGAATTTCCTAAGAGTTTGATATAGTAGGAATAATATTTTTCTCTAGAGACTTTTCCCCACTATCAATTTTATCGACAATAATATTAACGTACAATTAGTCCTTTTGTTACTCTAGGTTTAGTATGTCATTATGATGATTTTTACCCTACTTATGAGATTCAGACAAGAACTTGTTTGGTTATATTCCCTAAAATTCCAAGTATAAACTCTCTTTCCAGACACGCAATAGAATTATAGAGTGGTTTTTGTTGGAAGGGACCTTACGAGACCTTCTAGTAAAACTACCTCCCATGAGCAGAGACATCTTTCCCTAGATCACATTGCTTGAAGGTCCTCCATCTTGACCTTGAACACTTCCAGGGATGGGGCATCTACAACTCCTCTGGGCAATTTGCTTCAGTGTCCCACAACCCTCATTATAAAAAATTTTTTCAGTATGTCCAATGTAAACCTACACTCTTTCAATGAAAAGTCATTGCCTCTTGTCCTTTCTGTGCAAGAGCTGGTTAAAAGCCTTTCTCCATCTTTCTTATAACTGTTCCTCTATAGATATTAAAAGACTGTGGTAAGGTGCCCCTTAAGTCCTTTCTTCTACAGACTGAACAACTGCAGCTCTCTCAGCCTGTCTTCACAGGTCAGATGTTCCTGACCTGCATTATTTTTGTGGCCCTCTTCTGCACACTCTCTAAAAGATCCATGTCCTTCCCAAATACAAGAGAAAAGCCTTCTTTTAATAAGCAATATTCCCTGGAATATGTTGCACGTAACTGGCCCTGAAAGCATGTCTTAGTGCTCTCATCAGAAGCAAAAATGGTGATTCGTAAATTATTCATAACCTCCTTTCTCCTTGAGGCAATATCTGACCCACAAATATGTAAGGGATGAAAAATGTCTCTCTTAGAGATAAAAGAAATGCTGATTTATATAGCACTCATTTAATTCCTCTTGATTAAAATTAATGTTTTAAGTGAGCATTTTACATATTATGTTTTGTAAAGAACTGATTAAATAATATGCTTTTTTGTACTCTGTCTAGTAAAATAGCAAAATAGGTATTCTTGATGACACTGCTTTTACTGAATCTTATTTCACAAAGACATTCAGCATCATGTAAATGACCAAGACTTGACAAGTCAGCTTTGTTTCCTGTGTGCTTAATTAACTCTTTCCATTCCACTTGATTACTTCAGTTACACTTGGCCAGTTTTTTTTTGTTTTCTGCTTGAGAAGAAGAAAAAAGAAAAACACTAAAAATCCCCAAACAAACAAAACCATAACAGATAATTACATTTGCCTAATATGTACACTACAGTTTTTATACCCTATTTCATTTGCCCTCATCTCACACCTTGATTTGAAACCTGAATTTTTGTTTTAATGATACCAAGTTAAATAGAAGACAATATGATTGCAATTCCACTTTCTTATTTCCTTCATGTAGGTGTTTTATTTTTAACTTATAACTTAGAAACTACCATGACAAATTTTAAAGCAATAAATTTTGAAAGAGACTGAAAAGACCCCTTTACAGTATGGATGTCATTCATGTTAATGCATAATATTAATAGCAATGTTTACTAAATACTGAGATTTCTGTTTTCTCATAGTGATTTGCTTTAACATTATATATTTAGCATTAAATATTTCACTTACCTTTTTAATCTTGCCAGATCTAGTAGCTATTTGAAGAGCCTGACACTAAGTTTTAAGGTCACACAATGAAATCCAAGCTATGGCTGCTTCACTTAAAATAATCTGTAGAGAAAAAAGAAATCCATGTAAATAATTAAGAATATATTTTCTTTGTTTTTCTTTTTTACACAGTGGTTCACTTTACAAAATCATCCTATTGTGTACAAAATAGTTAAACTTTTTTAGGATAACATCTCTTACCTGTTATGGGTTGGTCCACACATTGTGTAATTCTTGCGGAGAAAAACTTTCCAGAGAGAAATTAATATTCTAGGGACAGAAACCACAGAATTTGCATTTCTTACATGTGGTGACTGTTCTGGGAGAATTCATACACATAGTCTCATAGACCCAGTGGAGCACTGACATTTCCATATGCAAAAGTGCAAGGCAAAATTTGAATGAGCCTTTTTTTCAAACTAGAATAGGGAAGAACAGTTTCTCATCTGTGTGATGAAGAATTTCAGTGGTGTAATATAAAAACACTTGCACACAGTCCGTTTAGAATGACAGAATAAAGATTCTGAATATTAATAGTTTGGGGTTGGAAGAGACCTTCAAAAACCTTCTGGTTATTTCTTGGCAAATTGCCAAATTATAGTTTGCTTTTAGAAATAGAAATGACATTTGAGATGGGTTTTGTGGACAAAAAATGCTTCTGCTGTATTATAGGGAAGGATTTAGATTGTGGAGTCACAAAGTAGTCACGGAAACTTATGAATTAAGCTGCCCTTAAGCACTTCTCATCTATCAGTAGTTGCCTGCCCACTAAAACAAGATTGCTTAAGTTAAATATGTCGTGCAAGCATACCATAATTTTCTCTTTAATAAATGATTTCTGAATTGCAGGGCTTGGAAACTATGCATATTGAAAGGTGGGGGCACAATGCACAAAAAAATATTCATTCCATAAGATGGCATGCAATTCAGGCAGAAATGCATTTATTTTCTATCAGAAAATTCAGCAAAAAAAGAACTAAAATATTGTAGTTCAGACTGCTATCCCCAGTGATGGGATACATGTAGTTTTAGTTTTTCTCTTGGGAACTCTTTATGCTGGAAAACTTTAATTTAGCTATAAAAGTGCTCTTCTAAATGTATAACAAAATTATTTCCGTAAATATAATTTTAGAGAAAATATTGCTTTATATTGCACTTAGATAAGTCTTTTTTGAGAAGAAAATTCACCATCGAAGCAATGAAAAAAATCTAAAATAAACAGAAACTAAAATATAGATAAGTGATACAACAAAATTGATGGAAGGTTTTAGTACTATAATCAATGTATCCAATTCTCTGTGACAGAGTGCTCTAGGTTGGTATTTAAAGTCTAGGTGAGATTTTTGTTATGCATAACAAGAGAAACCTGTACTAAAAATGTCTCAAAGCTTGTAAAGACAAGTAAGAAATAATTCATAAATTTGGAGTTTCTCTGGTACAGAGAAGGATCACCAGGTAATATGAGAAACACTATGTATTAGTAAGCCAATCATGGTGTTGGGGTTTTGTGTTTTTTTTGGTTAAAGTACAGAAAAGAAAAGGGAAGTAGTCAATGTGAAGACAAATTCAAAACAAAAACACTATGGGAGTCTCAAAGAAACAGCCTTTACCTATACCAGTACTAATTCAAGTTTATCTATAAAAGAAAAATTTCCCCTCTGAAACAAGAGATTATATTCAAGTTCAAGATTTGTGAGCAAAACACAACTATGATATTTTTCAGGATGAAGCTGCATTAAAACCAGAACTCTCCTTATTCTTCAAAACATCTCTCTCTGTAGGTATGTCTATACAAAAAATAGCAACACCCCAACTTAAGTAAAGTGTCTCTGTCACTTGAACTTCTCAAGCTTTGAGGGATATAAACAGCTGCACATTCTTATAGCAGTGTGCTGATTTTAGCATGAAATTTTCAGTGAAAGGATTTAAGCTTTTTTTGTTAAGACACTTAACAAAACATATGAATTAAAAATTCACATTATACACAATACTTATTAGATTTCCAAAAATAAAAAAGGCACACAATAATACCTAGAAGTAACTTGAAAGTTATAACCAACAAACAAACTAAAAAACACTGAAAACCACATTACCACTTCCTTTGTAGTGGAATATTGTGAGGGAAGTATTAGTACATATAAAGTCAGAAAATACATTGAAGAAAAGTTAGACCAACTCTATCTACTGGCTGTAATAATTTCTATGAGTCTAATGAAAGAAAATAATAAATGGAATGAAAAAAATCATATATGTGAAGTACAGACTGATAAATTGACATGAAAAATCTTTGTTTCTACAAAATAGGTAGGAAAAGGGGTTTATAGAAATAGGTTTATTCTGACTATGGAGAAACATAGGAAATACATGATATAACACCTACTAGGCCAAGTACTCTTGCAAGACATGTACAATTCTGGTAACTAACCGACACTGCAGAGAAGCTAATACTAATATAGTTGTTCTTTGTTTAGCAACATCTGTCCTTCAATCACATATGAAAATAATTCTAGTTATCCAATACTGATTTACCATCAAAGAACAGAATTTTTGATACTAAAAGAACACTCAGAAATAAACAAAAACTAAAGTAGGAAACAGGGATTGTTCATGGCAATGTGTGCACAGAACAAGAGGGTTTTTTGTTGCTGTCACTGAACCACTGCACTGCATGGAGACATGATTGCCAGCCACCTGGTTCAGAAATATAGAGACATATGGTACAGTTATTAATACTGACCCAAAGTTATTCCAGTGAGCATATTCCAAGTTTGAAAAAAAAAACCCTGATAAATATTCATTTAAATATGTAAATAAATTTATTCTATTATAAATTCTATTCTATAAACACACATGCTTTCAGTGCCAAATCCAAACCTCCTAAATGCTAGGAGTTCACAATAGTTTTGGGATATCCAATAAAATTAAATCTAGAGGAGAGCAGTAAAATAAAAATATAACAACATGCTGATCAGCATTCAAATACAAAATGTGGCTGAGATTTAAATTAGCATAGCTGCTTTGCAAATACAGCTATAAATCTTATTGTGGTCTTAAGCAACAAGCCAAAATTAATGAATGAATGTATTAGAAACAAAATGGTAGAAATTGCAATCCTGCTAATCAGAAAAGAAAAACCCAGAACTAAATAACAGTTATAAAAACAACTCCGTTTTCTCATACTTATTCCATTTACAGATCTCATTCCATATTTTCCATTCAATGTGCATTTTTCCAATATGAGTTTCCCCAAACCATTTTATTGAAATGTTTGCACAATTTCAGCTGTGCTTAAATTATACAGTTAACTATTCGAATAAAGTTACAGGCAGAATTATGCATCAAAGGTGGGAAAATAAATAAATGGGATTGGTCCGGGCAGGGCACATAAAGTAACAGTAAGGATTATGAGCCTCATGCAGGTATAAAGTTCTTTATTTTCAGGTATTTGATTTTGGTCCAAATGAAATGAAGAATGTTCCTCTCAAACTTCCCATGATGAAAAATATCTTAGGTTTTTCCAGTTGCTCTTTCTTCTAGACTTTTTGCCTAAATCAACAGATTTTCCAGGTTAAAGTGTATAGCTCTGCATCAAGAACCACTAAAATTGTTATCATTTTTCCTTCTACATACATTGGTGCCAGCTCTAGTTGCAAAAGCAGGTGCTCCAATACAAACATGTGATGGGAGGGTGTGGAATAGAGTCATACTCTCCTTAGGGATGCCCAGCAGAAGGACAAGAAGCATTAGACACAAACTGAATTCCATTTAAGTATGAGAAGTGACTTAACTGTAAGAATGGTCAAACACTGGACCAGGTTACAGAGAGAGCTTAGCCTGTGGTGCATCTATCCCTGGAGATATTGGAAACCTGTTGTTTGAAGCCCTGAAGAACCTGTTCTCACTGACTCTGATATGAGCAGGGGGGCTGGACTAGAAGATGCCCAGAGATCAGTGCCATTCCCTGCTGCTCTGTGATTTCATGGAACAGAAATAGAAGTCCTATAACATGGTCAATGCACCCAAACTGCGGCCCTTGTAATCCTGAGGGTTATGCTGGGAGGCAGTTACTGCACACCATGACCAGGATTCCATTGCCTACAGGGAGGGTCCTCAATTTCTGGCAAGGCATCCAGGGGTCCAGGAAGAGTGACCTGTCAAAATGTTATCCTGAATTTAAGTACTCTGCAAATCATTTTGGGTGAAACTCTTCAAAGACGAAACCCAACCAAATCAAACCACATCCTAAACTGCTACACTTTAGTTTGAACTTCAGTTAATGAAGTTGGTATGTTTTTTTGCAGATAGCAAAAATGTAGGAATAAAGACAGACCATAATTTTCATAAAAATAACCAAACTGAAAAATATTGTTAAAAACGCAAACCACTTTTCCTCCAACCGTCTGCACTGCCCTTTAAAGAGTACTTTAATATTTAGTAAAATGTATTCCATAATATAGATCAATGAAGTGATTTGATTTATGCTATCATGCTTGTCTCAAGAGCCAAAACAAATGTCCTGCATAAGAGTTTCTCAAGTACATTAACATGTAATCAACAGACAACCTGTTTTAAAAAGAAACAGCATATTAACCTTTTATATTCAGTACAAAAATTGTAAATCATGCACATGAGTTTATGTAAATGTTTGTGCTCATATATAACCATTATTTTTGGGGGTGATGTTTGTGGAAGAAATACATCATCTTGTAGGAGATAATTTCATTTTCAAACTAGACAGCTGAAACATGTCAAGGCCCTATAATCCTAAATTATACCTTTTTTAATAGCCAAAATAGCCAACTGACTAGCAATGCAGAGTTACATATTTTATTTTTCACTTTTTAATCTGTCCTGCTACTCCTTTTCTTATTAGCATAACTGCTTAACTTTACATATTTCAGCAAAAGATAACTTAGTGTAATAAGCCTATTACAGGCTCATTAATGTCAGGCCTCTAAGGAAAGATGTGTATCACTTGTCTTTTATCATTCTCCTTTCAGTTTCTTTCTTATTCTTCCTCAAAACTCTTCTGTCAGGGTGAGAGACTGCATGAGCACTTTATT